ATTGCCAAGGCCACCACTGACCAGGTCCCCAAGTGCCACACCCACACAGGTTTTAAACCACCCCCCCCCGGGGATGGGGACACGCTGCCTGAGCAGCTTTTCCATGAAGGAATTTTCCCTAAAATCCAACCTAAAGCTCCCTCGGACGCCTTTTTGTTTCCTGCTGTCACCTGGAGCAGAGCCTGACCCCCCTGGCTGTGCCCTCCTGCTGGGCGGGTGTGGGGAGCGAGAAGGTCCCTCTGAGCCTCCTCTCCTCCAGGCTGAGCTCTCCTGACGCTCCAAACCCTTCCCCAGCTCCAGGGGGCTCTCAAGGGGCCCAAACCTGAGCCCAGGATCAGGGTCTGACCTCATCCCTCATCCCTCCAGCCCGGCCACAGCTCCCAGTCAGTCCCAGTGCTCCCAGTCCATCCCAGTCAGCCCCAGTCCATCCCAGTCAGCCCCAGTCCATCCCAGTCAGTCCCAGTCCATCCCAGTCAGCCCCAGTCCATCCCAGTCAGTCCCAGTCCATCCCAGTGCTCCCAGTCCCACTCACCACGTCCGCGTTGGTTTTGTTGAAGAAGGCCTCGGCGAACACGGTCACCACGAAGATGTTGATGATGAAGGAGACGAAGAGCGCGATGCACGACTCGATGAAGAAATATTTATTGGCCTCTCGCACCTCCCGCTTGTCTGAACGGTTCACCTGCCGGGACTGGGGGACAGGGACAGCGGGGGGGACAGGGACAGTGGGGGGGGACAGGGACAGCAGAGGGGACAGGGACAGCAGAGGGGGGACAGGGACAGCAGAGAGGGGGACAGGGACAGCAGAGGGGACAGGAATTCACCGTTAACCCCTGCAATCAGAGCTGGCTGCAGCGATGACAGCCATGCTGGGACACGGAGGGGACGCACCCCTGGGTCCCACGCTGACACCTCCAGGTTCAGCTTTTGTGTTTCGGTGTTTTGCAGAGCCTGCCCTGCCTTGGGACCGGACCCTGAACTCCACCCCGAGCTCTCCTCACAGCTCAGGCACACACAGCAATCCCTCTCCAGCCCACAGCCAGGGACAAAGCTGCACCTTCAGGCCCAAAAAGCAGCAGGGAACCGAGGAGAGCAGACTGAGAGGATGAGACCTCATCACCTGAAGCTGGAATTGGACAATTAATGAATTGGACAATTAACCCCAATACGGAGATGGACCAAAACTGATAAAAGTGTGAAATTCCTGCCTGGGTGTCCATCCTGGGTGGAGCCTCGGGCAGGCTCTTCCAAAGTGCATCTTTGGAAAGGCTTTTAATAATTAATAAATCCTTGTTTTATTCCTTTAACCCTGCCCAGCCTCTCGAGGCACCAACACCCCACAACACCCCACAACACCCCACGTGCCCGGGCTCCTCTGAGGGTGTTTCCTGAGCCCAGGGCCCCCTCCTGGGGTGCTCACCTTGACCAGGGCGGAGTGCAGGTACATGTTGTGGGGCATGATGACGGCGCCCACGATGCCCACGGCCTGCTCCAGCTGCGGCGTGCCACAGTCCTTGCAGTAGGGGATGAACAGTCCCTGCAGCAGCTTCTCCTGGTTGGGCTTCACTGTGATGTACTGGGCACAGGAAAAAGGGGGTTTTGGGGTGCTCCACAGCAAAACCACGAAGCAAACTCAAATCTCTTTAATTTGAAGTGTCCATCCCTGCGTTTGGTGCTGTTTCAGCACAGGAGTGGGACTGCAGCGTTGAATCATGGAGTTGTTGAGATTGGGAAAGACTCTGGGATGGTTGGGTTCAGCACTGACCCTGTGCCCGAGTGTCACACCCACGTGGCTCTTAAATTCCCCAGGGACTCCCTCCCTGCCCAGGGCAGCCTGTGCCAGCCTGACAGCCTTTTCCAGGTGGGAATTCTCCCTAAAATCCAACCTAAACCTCCTCTAGGAGGACATTTCCTCTCATCCTGGCACCTGGGAGCAGAGCTCAACCCCCACCTGGCTGTTTCCCCTCCTGTCAGGGAGCTGTGGAGAGCAAGGTCCCTCCTGAGCCTCCTTTTCTCCAGGCTGAGCTCCCCCAGCCTCTCCTGGTGCTCCAGCCCCTTCCCTGCTCCATTCCTGGCTCTGGACACTCTCCAGCCCCTTCCCTGCTCCATTCCTGGCTCTGGACACTCTCCAGCCCCTTCCCTGCTCCATTCCTGGCTCTGGACACTCTCCAGCCCCATCCCAGCCCCATTCCTGGCTCTGGACACTCTCCAGCCCTGTCCCTGCTCCATTCCTGGCTCTGGACACTCTCCAGCCCCTCGGTGTCTCCTGGGGGGTACCTCATATCCAAAGGTCAGGGCCATGATGGTGATGAGGAACCCAAAAAACGCCTCCAGCTTCCTCAAGCCTGCAAGGAGGAGAAGTCCCGTTGTCACCAAGCTGAGGAATCCCCGATCCCAGACCCGGCTCCCAGAACTGGAAGCGGGAATTACCGTATTTGTCGAGGAAGAGGAAAACGAAGGTGTCGGCGATGGTGATGAGCACTCCCCCCCAGAGCGGGATCCTGTGGGGGACAGCGGGGTCAGTGCCCACCCACAGCTCCAAACCCCTTTTGTTTTGGGGGTTTTTTATGGGGTGGAGCTGTGTCTGAGGGTTCTTCATGGCCTGAGCAGGACAAGGGGCCACAGGAACAGCGCAATCCAAGGGACACCCCCTGCCCGCCTGTGCCGGGTCCATTCCTGCCTTCCCAGCCCCAAGGACAGCGGGAAAAGGAATCCCGTGTGGAATGTGGAGTGTGGCACGAGGCTGCACCCCGATTTTGGAACAGAGCCCCCGTGGGTGCCCCACAGTGCCAGCGCAGCCCTGGAGGCTGAGCTGGCGCCGAGAGCCCGGCCAGGCAGGGTGACTCACATCCTCGGTGCTGATTTGGGGCAATTCACAGGAAATCAGGGAGTTTTGGGCACAGGGTTCCTCATTTCCCACATTTCCTCCCTCATTTCCCACACAAACCCCAGCTCACTTCCCCATGGAGAGCAGGTTGATGGCGATGGCAGAGCCGATGACCTCCTGCATGTCGGAGCCGATGATGGCGAGTTCCACCATCAGCCACAGGATGATCCGAGGGAACTGCGGGGCAAAGAAACACCCGTGAAAAACAGGGAGAAAATATCTTCTCCCGTGGGGCTGGGGTGCTCCTGCAGGCAGGAACGGGATCATCACCCTGCCCTGCTGTGGGAAGCTGCTCTGGAGCTGAAATCCCAGCCCCTGTGGCAATCCTGGGGAGGATCCGGGTCACTTGTGCCACCCCAGCTCCTGGCCTGGATTCAGGAGCAATTGCAAGAGCAAAATGTGAGATCTCCACGTGGGGATAAACTGGGAATGAGCGTGGGGAGATGTTCCAGGTCAGAGCAGAGACTGTCAGCAGCTGGATGGGGAACACCCAAGTGCCCAGGGCTGGGACACCCCAAATGTCCCCACAGCCCTTCCCAGAGCTGGGGACACCCCAAATGTCCCCACAGCCCTTCCCAGAGCACACACAGGGCTGGGACACCCCAAATGTCCCCAGGGCACAGGGCTGGGACACCCCAAATGTCCCCAGAGCCCCCCAGCCTCAGTCATTGTCAGCAGATCTTCCTTACATAAACCCAGGGAATTCCCAGACATGGAACCAGGAAATGTTTTTCACCTAAAGGGCTGTTTCTCTCCTCATAATTCCTTGGGATTATTTTAGCGTTGCTGTGCTGAAATCCCAGATTTTATTCCTGACTTTTAAATAGCAACATCCCCCTGCTCCCTCCTTGTGTTCCCCAAGCCAGGACAGCACCGAGAGACCCTGAAACAGCCCCCATGAACCGCCCTTAACGAGTCCCCATGGCACCACCAAGGACACTGGGGGGTCACCCGTCTTCTTCCAGCCACCCCCCATCGTCCCCAATCCCCCAGGACTGTCCCCAGGCCCCCTGAGGGGCTGGGGGAGCATCACCCACCCCACCTGAGGAGCTGGGGCAGTGTCACCCACCCACCCCTGGCACCCCTGAACAGCCTGG